TGTTTTCACATTCCTCTACGGAAGGGGGACATGTATACGCTTCCTTGAAATCTGAGATTTTATTTGGGACAACCATGTTAAACAAAGTATGAATCATAGTGGGGTATTGTTACATACTGTCTGGAGTGGAACTTTAAGTCACAGAATGTTTTTCACATTATTTTAGCATGGTGTCAGACCTCATTACTGCTACTCATCAGCCACATGATTTGTTCAGTGGTTCATATAATTCTGGTGTCATCATTGATGGCTGTTTCCCTGGTTGGAAAAACAATCGACCAATCATAGCTTAGTAGCCAAACTAAAGTGACCAAAAATCACTTGAAACTGATTGGTTAGGTTGAAACTTTACTTTTAACTTTTTTATTAACCCTCCCTCAACAGATGATGGCTAACATAAACATGAATGCAGTGAATCAGTTCAGATTATTAGGCATCATTATTTTGTTTTTGTTATTTTTGTTATTATAGTTTGAATGCACAAAGGTCTGTAAAGAATCATTTTAGCACTTTCAACACTGAATACACCACACAGGCACACAATATGTTTTCTTGTTGTAACAGACCTAGAAGAGTCCCAGAAGGACAGTGGGTCTGTGCATCCACCCAGAAATCTAGTCAGTCACAATCAGTGCAAATATCAGGGTGGGTGCACAGGGACTTCTACATAATTTAACCAGTAAAGAGATATCTTGTGTGGCTGTCTGTCTCCCTTGGCAGGACGTGGAGATACGGACCAATGCAAGTCTCTATCTGCCCCAGATCAGCGAGCTGTTGAACCGAGTGCCCCGGCAGATGCTGCTGCTGCTGAAGACCAATGACTTGCTGAGGGGCATTGAAACCACCTTACAGACCAGAGCCTCCTCCTCGTCCTTCATCAACATGTCCCGCTGCTGCATACGCGCCATGGCCAGGTCAGAAAGACTGTACTCTTTTCTCTGTCGTAGCAAGATTCTTTGTTATTATTAGCAGCCTAAAATAGCAGATTGCTGATCGGATCACTGTGGTGTGTGAAGTGTAAGAAAGACCTATTGTTTCTTCTGTAACTGTCACATTCCTCTTCATTCTATGTTTAAAATTTCGAAAACTTTGGCCTGGTGGTTGTTTCAAAGTAAGACACTGTCACAGACTGGAATGAAGTCAGTAGTTTTGTCTCCAAATATTCCTGCCCATTGTTAGGTCATTATTCGGCAGTTATAGAGACAGTCTAGTAAGTTCCGGTAGACAAAACTGAGAATGACTGTCTATAGTAAAACACAAACTAAATACGTGACTCCATGAGGATTTGTGAATAATATCCTTCAGTTTCTGGGTTGTATAGAGGAATGGTGAGACGGGAAATGTGTCAGAACTAAAGACAAACTAAGCTGACAGGTAAGTGGCTTTAAAAGAGAAATTGAATTTTGCCACTATAGGTTGGGAGAGGAGAGCTGTGGGCTGTCACTTCAGCTCTCAGCTGATGGCTGAAGGACAAGGCTCTGGACACACACACAAACACACACACCGGGTGTCTGCCTTGCTTGATGCTATGCTGCTGACAGTGGTAGAGCTTGTCTGAATAAGCACATCTTATAAAATATTAACCAACTGTAGTGCCATGGGTGGTAATGTAATACAGGCACCAGGGGATCCTGCGGTGCCACCTCATTCCCACACCTCAACTCCAGCGTGCTGTACTCACAGCTGCTCTGTCTCACTGTAGGAGAGCCTTTTCTACAACTCACACTGTGTTCATGTGCTGTCAGCAGCCAGAACTAGCTCCGCTCAGGCATGTAGCACCTTTTTTCTTGTGTTCCTGATATTTTTAAATGCAAGATAAAGTAGATCAAGATGAATACCCGCTGGCCAGGGCCTTTCTGTGTGCAGTTAGCATGTTCTCCCTGTGACTGCATTGATTTCCTTCAAGCGGTCTTTGGACTGTAGGAGAATCGCAAAAAAAGACATACAGGTTAAGTAATAAAAAAATTCTCATAGCTGACCCTGTGACAGACTTGTGACCTGTCCAGGGTTCTGTTACCTGTTGTGTTCTCAGATAGGCTAAAAGTACTCACCTGCTCTACTCAGCTCTGTCTTTACCCCCTTTTCTCTAAACTCAGCAACCAGCTTCATGGTTTTGCTGACTTTGAGCAGCAGGTTTGTTTCTGTGCACCGCTTTCAAGATTGTTGATTTGCTCCTGATGTGAAGCATCATCATTGTTTGAAGGGGTTACTCACAGGTACCCTCCACGTCATATATGTTGCTTTGGGAGTCACTGGCAATTGACCTAGTCTGACGTTTATGTATTAGGACATGCCGGTATTCACGTGTGTAGGTATGCTTCCTTAAGATGTGATTTCACCATTCTGTTCAACAGAGGAGAGTTGAGTTGGAAATAGTGTTGTGTACATAGAGAAGAGGGCTTTCCTGCGTTCTTTTGGGGTTATGGGTTGGTCAAATATGTTTGCCATTTGTTTGGATAATTTTAAAAGTTCACAGCCATCAAGATATGAATGGATATTGAACGACTGAGCCTCAAAAAGGTTGTGTTAATGTCTTTGGGGGTTTTATTTTCAATTTCTTCAGTGTATTGAGTGAGCTTTCTTTTCTTTTTAGCTGATTACCAAGATTTTTTTTCATTGTTTCCAAAATAATTCAGTCTCATTCTATACATTAAGGAATTGGGTCCGTTGATGTATGATATTAATGATTTTTCTTATTTTTTTCTTAATTTTCCCTCTCTCTTACGGTTTGCTAGTTGGATTAGTAGGAATGTTGTTACTTGAGATGTTTTAGTTTGTCATTTTAAGTCCTTGCTGTGTTTCTTGTTCCTTCTATTTTTGGGTGTAGAATATTAAATATGCCCCCTAAGAGCTACTTTTGCTGTTGCTGATATTTCTGGGGAATTGTTCAGCTCAGTGACGGATGTCCACTCTTTAGGAAGGAAATGGTTCAAGTCTTTGATTTAAGAAATACTTAATGGGTTTGGTTTAAGCGACCCTTTACAGTAAATATGAACTAAGTGAATGAAGGAATTGTGCTCTGAATACACGCACTTGTGGGTAAGATTGGCTGTAGTGTGTAAATTTGGCACAAAATGTGTAACAGTCAAAGTGGTATCATCAAGGTTTTGTGCAGTGGTTCTCCATGTGTGTTATTCTAACCAAACACTACAGCACTGCTCCACTGATTAGCACACCTGCAGCCACTGAAGAGGAACTAATCAGTGGAGTGTTCAGCTGTAATGTTAACCTGTAATGCAAAGCTAAGAACCCAGTGGTTCATCAAAACTCATGCTGGAAAATTGCTGTTTTAGTTTCAGATGTTTAAAGGTACACCTTGTGCTGAACCACCAGCTTTTCACATTGACTCAAGTGGATACACAACTAAATTTGGGCAAATAATGAAACGATGATGTCCAGATTCTTAGAGGAAAAAAAAGCCTATTTTCTGGCAAAAAAAGATGGTTGCTTAAGCTCCGAGATCTTTAACTTGTCATAGCAGGAAAAGCACTGGTGGTGTACAATGCCAGGGAGTCCACATGCACAATAACAGATATCTTGAACTGAAATACCTAAATGGATTGCAGCCATCATTAATGGTATTAGTTGTAGTATTCCTGTGTTTGACAAGTCAAAATGTCCACTGTGAAAAATGGCTATTGGTTAGGTGGTTTGTTTTACATTAGGGGGCCATAGAGAACCCAACCACACAGGATAGCAAGCTGTCGCCACAACCGCACGTGATGTCAGATCAACGTGTCATGTTCGGTATTTGTTTTTCAAGGCAGAAAGGCGCCCCACAGAGGCGAGGCTGAAGAGACTCGACACATCAGAAGCACTGTCTGTAACAGTGTTACGCAATATTTCTTAATTCACAGCCCAGGATTAATATCATACAGGAGAAAGTCACACAGCCTCCGCCTCACTAGATCTTGAAAAATTCAGACTGGAAACAAAATGCTGACCAGTGTTTTGGTTTAAGATATGACCCTGTTAACTGGAAACTTTCAGCTGAATATGTAACTAACTGCCAACTTTTTATTGGCTGAAAGTGGCCAGTAAACAGGGTCACAGACCCAGTAGGCAGAAGGGGAGAGAGTGCAGGTGATTGGTACAAGCAGGTACCAAGATTAAACATTATCACACTGTCCCTCTAATTACTTTGTTGAGCCACCCTAAATTACAGCAAGGGAAATTCCTTCAGCGTGACAGCCCTGGCCATAGGGTGCCAATGTCAGTCTATTCTATCCTGAACTTAAACTAAACTTAACTTAAAGGCTAAATGAATGTTCAAGTCCATCTATCTGTCAATCTTTGTGTCCACACCTTCAGCTATAGCATTATATCTCAGTTAGCTGGGCATACTCTGTACGATTTTAGAATGAATGAAAAGGTTGTTTAATTCCTACTCCTACTGTACAAGTAAATGGTCCGCCATGGGAAGCCAAAGCTCATGCTTTGTGCTCACACTGTACGGTCCAATCGTCAAGCCATGACCTGAGTGCTCACATTGTACGTGTAGAATCAAAAATAAAACGTACTATTGGCCCCTGCGGAGTGTCAGTATTTGACGCCCTGGAAATGAGACTCAACGATCAACTATCTTTCTTGACTCTGACTGGTTGTTTTCAGTTTTAAGTATATAATGTTTCCAAAACCAAGCACAAGCAGTTAAATAAAGCTAAAGAAATACACATTTGTGGGAATTGATTGTTATAGATGAATTCTTTGCCTACATTTTCAATGGTAGGATATATTTAAATATAAATCTGGCTAAAAACATTCATTTCAAGGATGTGATATGATACCAAGCCTGTTCATGCATTATGTTTCACACTTGTGTTTTCTGTTATCAGCTTGTGAAAAATGTATTTGTTCAAACGTATGGCCATGTAGCACTGTCATCCGTTTATTAAATTATTGGAGAACTTAAAAACATTTGTAAGAAATCTTGATGATTTGAAAACCTTCAAATTGTGCCTGACCCTTGAATCTTTCCTTCTTCTTCTGCTGCTGCTCTGACAGGCACAAGCGGAGCAAGGCCCAGTCCAGGAGGAGGCGTTTGCAGATCACACTGGCAGAGTCTCTCAGCCTGTGGAAGCTCTCTATGTACGAACTGTTTCTGTGGGCGAAGGGCTCCATGTTGGTGCGCTGGCTCACTGCTCTGCTGTCGTATCTGCACTGACACATCTGGATGGACATTGCACTGGAACATTAACAACAGGCTACACTGTTGGCTCTCTAGACACCATTTGTGACTCTGTGGATACATACAAGGACACAAGATGCAGATGTCTTTGGACAGCGGGAGCAGATGTGGCTGCTGATATTTTTCTTGGCCTTTTACCTCAGGATCACAACTTACTATATGTCCAATCGGCAGTATTGAGGTCAACTATTTTCTCACGATTGTGAAATAATTGTCTTTACTCAAGATAAATACTTTTCTGTTTCACTTATTTTATTTAAGGCTATTATTGTCAGATGATTTTTCTCATAAAAGTGAGATTGACTTGAGCCATTATCGTATACACAGTATTCAGACCATGCATGTACTAGTGTTTTTATATGGGAGCTTTAGAGGTGATAGCTGGTATATTTCAAAAAGACCCTGCTTTCACTCTATATGCTAAGCTAAGCTAACCACACCTGACTCCATCTTTCCTTTCCATCTATTTAACACGCAGACCTGAGATTGATATCTTTTTCAGAAAAAAAAGAAAATATGCACAATTCCTGAAATGCTAAAGAATTCCTTGCAACCACGAGAAGACTCTTTGATATCCCAGAATGATGATACAAGTATAATCAGTTCTCTTAACTGTCAGATTATGAAATTTAATCGTCATGAATTTTGATTAAAAGTAAATTATCGTGCGCAACCTTTAACCAGGTATATAGTAGATCTCAAACACTTGACAGCCATGTATAATCTTAAACATAATGCTGTATAGGCAGCCCTAAATACCATCAGACAATTCACTTCAACACACAGAAAAAAACTGTGATGCAGCAATGGAGGAACCAGATCACTCATAGGCATTTTCCTGAAACAGGGAACCAGCTCTGTTCTGGTTTGCACACCTAGTTCTGAACGGTTCCGAGCATTTCAACCAAAAATAAATTGGTTTGGAACCTGAAAAGTTGGTTCCCAGCTTGAACCAAAAAATAGCAGGTTTTCCTTGGGAACCAAAGTGGGTGTGTCATATTCTACAGGTCGTTGTGCATTGTGTAGCGTCCTCTGTTGATGATGCATCCAATTACAATGGTTCCACTCAGAGGCTGGTTAGCTAGATAGCACCAAGGTTCCAAGAATCTTGAACCGAACCAGTGTGGTGGAAAAAGACTATTATAGGCCATTTCCACCAACGTGAAACCGACTTAGGTTTGTGCACCTAGTTTTGAACCATTCGAAGCATTTAAACCCGAAAAAATTTGGCTGGAACCCAAAAAAGGGTTCAAGAACCAGAGCTAATTTGTTAACACTCTAGGGACCCAGCTCTGTTCCAGTTTGTGCACCTAGTTTTGAACCAATCAGAGAATTTCTTTGTTCGGAACCTGAAAAATTGGTTCCCAGCTAGAACCAAAAATTAGCAGGTTTCTATTTTGACTTCTGTTTGTACATGTCATGTCACATGGATTGTACATCGTCTTCTGTTGATGACCACATACTTGATTACAATGGTTCCGCTCAAAAGCTGGCTGGAACTAGGTGGTTCGCTAGATAAGACCAAGCGTTCCCAAGAATCTGGAACAGAACCGGTTAATGAACTGGAGCTATTTTGATGGAAAACACATTTAATAACATAGCCAGACAGGGAAGTAAGTCATACACAAAGACAGGTATCCAGTCCAGGGTCAGAGTGCACTGATCTTCAAATTCCAGGCCGACACTGTGGAACCAGGTGCATGAAGCTGCCAACTTAACAGTCACCCTCACTATGCGACGAAGAAATAGAATACCAAATCATGAGAGAGCCTCTTTGCAGTTTCATCCACCTGCACGAGGTGATCTGTAGTTCAGGAGCCTGATGGAAGCTATGGATTCGTTTTGTTCACAAATATCGAGTGCACGTTGCATCACAGAACTGTCTGGTGATTGCAGAATGCACTGCAAGCTTATGCTCTTCAAGTCTCTTTCATTTTCTAGTTATTCGTTTTATAATAATAATTGATGGATCATGTTTACTATTAATACATTTGTACTGTTGTTCTTAGTCGACATACTGTTACCTCATTCCACAAGCACACCGAGTTTGTGTAACTGCATATGATATGAATAACCTAATAATACATAATAATCATAATAATAATAATTATTATTCACTTCATCTTATATTATTATTATTATAATTATTATCGGTTATTATTATTATTATTATGATAGGTGTTGTCACTCCGATCAGAAATGGTTCTCTCTTCAGCTTGTTCCTGATAAGCAAACACTTACACCTGAGACACATTTTGGTAGGCTGTGCGTTACAACCCCACAATGACTGTAATTTATCTAAACTTTAATGCAACTGATAGTGCAGCTCTACAGAAAAGCTTCCACTCTCTGGCTTGTTGACTTATTTTAAATCATCTCTTTTTTTCAGAAAGTGGCTTAAATTCTGTATTTCCCTCTTCTCGTCTTTGTACTGTTGTCACCACAGTTCTCGTGTGGTTTGTTGATTTAAATGAAAGTCAAAAGTCTTTTTGCAGTTATAGTGGGAAGCTCTCGAAAACTTTCAGAAACATTGAAGGCTTGACTTTATAGCAGCAGTCAAAATTATGTTGCTTGGTTACAGTAATGGGATGAAAACACACAAATACAGCACAGCAAAGTGACGAATCTGTATGAAGCATTACGGTAAAGTGTGCTTATTTGGTCTGTGTGAAGCTGCCTGGAATTAGTCAGTTGTTTTTTAAAAACTGTTGTGCCACAGCTCTACAGTCTAAAGGCCTACCTGCTGTATCACAGTGCTTTGCCACATTAGAGAGCAGTGTTGTAGCAGCAATTGAGAGTAATGTCAAAAGGATTTGCTGATGGGTCTAAATTCACTCTGTTTGCTACCTAATGCACAATATTTACCGCTCGCTTTTATTTGTCAGAAAGTGTCGAATGATTGCACTGTAGTGCTCTAAAAACTCCCACACTGGAACAAAAAATGTACTGCCCATTGCATGCTTACAATCCCACAATCCAGTGCTTCTCCTGATACATGTGTAATGTATTGTTATGTGACCCTACACCTGTCTGTGATGATGCAAAATGTGAAATAGAGACGGAGTGAACCACTGAGTGTTAATCATGTAGGGCGGAGCAAGGGAGGTATTTCAGATTTCAGACACAGCACCAGTGTTAGACAAATAACATACCTGCTCTTCATCACTCCCTCTAGCTTCTATACTTCTATTTCTGCAATATCCTCTCTGAATGATCTGTTTTTGTGTAAAACAACCAAGAAGTAAAGAAAGTGGAGATGTTGAAGGATGCCTTTTGCCCCTGCTGCTTCCAGCCTTTAGCTTGGCTTTATGTAATCTTGTGCACTGCAACCCACATTTCTGAACGTATGCAATGGTTGTGGATAAATAACATGAAAAATGTATGTCTGTTCCCAATAGGCCAACACATCCAACCTTACTAATCAGAGGCCATATCTCTTCTCCCTGTGGAATAAATAATGTATGAGCGCACCAGTAAGCGCCCCAAAACTACCATGATATCAGTGTCAAAGCTTTAATTTATTTGCTTTCTATTTCCTCTGGTAAAATTTATCTTAAATCTTTGTTAAGATGGTGACATGTTACCATTTCTGTTTTTTGGCGGCATTAGATCCAGCCACTTCCTGCGAGTTGGAATACGTGGGTACGAACAAAATGGTTGAATGTTTCATAATTTTATAACAAATGAATTAAAAGGAAGTGAAAATGTAAGAAGCCAATGTAAGAAATCAAGTGTATATATATATGCATCCCTGTTTTATCTGCCGACATATTGGACGAGTCAAAGGCTGTGTAGACCCTAACCCTAACCTCAGAAGTTCACTGTTGGAAATGACTGCTATTTTTCATGCCAATGTTTCTCACTACTGCCCCTGAAAGTCCACACTTTGTTTTATGCTAACAACCAAAACAGAATAGTTGAATACCTAGTGTAAACTTTATAGAATTGGTATGTAGGGTGGCACAAAGCGATATATTATCGCTATCACAATATATCCAAGTGCAATTTCCAAATCAAAGAAGCTGCAATTCTTTGATGAAGGTCAAATGTGTGACAAACAGCATTTTAATGAAGAACTGTAGTTCTTAAGAGACGCCCTGGCCTACAAATCTTATTCTCCACATGTAAGAAAACATGTTTATTTGATACAGACCTCAACAAATGTCACATCATCAGGATTCTAATCGTTTTTTCAGTGAAAATTAAATTTGTGATGCAAAAACTAATTGTGAATCATATAGCAATATCTGTCAAAACAAAATAATTGCAAAAAAACTTTTTTTGTAGTCCTATTAGTATGTAGTATGGAATTGGGATGTAGCAGAAAGGAAGGAAAAAGACCTTGGAAGAAGAAGAAGGTGATAAATGAGACCTGCAAGACAGGCAAAAAGAATCTAAAACAGAATGGAGGTGAACAGACAAGAGAACGAGTATGAGTGGTTAAATATGAAATATCTGAGATGTAATGAAGTACATGAGAATGTGATGGAGTGGCAGACTGTATTGCTCAGATCTTCCATTAAACTTCCTTTTAAATCCCCTACATCATTCAATTCTATACACCCTTAGCATCAATTACTTCTTTTTGTTGGGGCTTTTGTCACAGACCTATACTTTAAACTCTGTTTGCAGCTACTTTTATTATTCACCCATCATGCATTCCCACGTATTTTAAAGGGAATGTTACATGTTAACAGGCTCATGTTTAGCAGGTATAATGTTCACCATGCTGGTAGGGAAGGGAAGGGAATCTACATGTTCTCCACTGGGAACTCTTTCTGACTTCATCTGTGTATTATTGGCTGAGCCCATTGTTGCAGATAGTAATAATAGTTGGGATATTAATGTGCTAGTGCTAGCTAACCTCACAAAATAATTCTTAATTACTCATCTATTTCAACTTTTTACACGTGAAACAATAAGAAACACAGATTCAGTGTAGTCAGACATAAAATTAGATTTAGATTTTCTCAGGCAGAAGACATTAAGGTTACTTTGCACTACCTATATATCTGTTTCTGCTAATACAAAGAGTGCAGAATCTACAGTTTTAGTATACTGCTATTCTGCCCGAAACACATTTGGCTAACCAGTCAAAAAACGTTCTCAGTTTCATTGTTAGCGTAGTTAGCCTTTGCAGGGCAGTATAGCTGAGGTTGGTTGGAATGTTAGCTTTATAAGTATATGGTCAAGAAATGAGTGCTGGACAAATTACATGCAGACCTGATAATGGCAGAGAGAGGAGAAGTTGGGTTAACCAAAATGATTACAGTTCACCCTGGAGGAAAAAGTAAACGTTGTTTAACAGAAGGCGTAAATTATAGTTACACTTGTTTAGACAAAATATATCTGTGGACACTAATTGAACCAGACTTCAGGGCAGTCCATCCAGTAGTTGATATATCAGTCTGAACTCAAGCGTGGGACCAACCGACCAACATTGCCACTGGAAGGTTTCCCAAACTTAGTCTGGCCACGAAGCTCAGGGACAGGCCAAGGCAGAACATGCCAGCAGTTGGTCTCAACCTCTGGACAGTCTAAAGACAAACAACTTAAATTAAATGGCTTTTAACTCTTAATTCTTTCATTTTTTCCCTCTGAAATTCAGCCCAAACCTGGAATTATCAACCTTTCATTCCCAGCCTCACATGCTATAATCCCTGCAGCAGCCAATCTCGCAGACACACTCACTAGTCAGGTTGTTGATAATTTGCCTCTGTGCAGTTCATCCAGCATAATTGCAAAAAATGTCCAAAAGGAGGAAAGTATTACTCAACCACAAGTTGAACATCCAAGCCAGTGTAATGGGTATTTTAACAGGATAGTGTGTGTGCTTATTTGCAATGCCCCGTCAGGTGAATTGAAATTAGTCTCAGTTTTGTTGGCGTATCCTCGACATGTCAGGGACACATTTTCTGCATCCATGCTGTGAATTTGTGAATGTGGAGTTGACCAGGGTTACAAAAGCTGCATGCACACCCAAAGTGCACACTGTTGCTCATTTCTTCCACATGTTTTGGTGATAAAATATACATTTCACCACACACAACCTGCTTCCACTGTTTCCCAAAGTGTTTTCTCAGCACGGTGTGTGCGTCTGATAAAGAGCCCGATAGCAGTAGATGTGTAGAATAGTCTCAGTGTATGTGTGTGTGTGTGTGTGGCCACAGGAGGACCATCCATCTTTATCACACAGGGCCACCCAGGGCTGCCATGGCTAATAAGAGCAGTTCTCTCTTTCTATCCCTCTCTCCTCCTCTCAAAGGAAGAGAGAGTGAGCACTTTGACGAGCCCTCTCTCCACGCTCCCTCCCTCTGTTGAAGTGGTCTGGAGGAGGATGAAAGGTCACACACTCACATGCTAAAGTCAAAGTATCTTCAGAAAATGTGTTTAGACAAATATTTATGGTGCTTAGGAGGTGTACCTCTGTTCATATTGGGCCTTAAAGGAAAATTCCAGTGTAAACAATCATGGATAAAATTATGAAAATGACTACCTAGTTTTACATAATTTGCATTATTACTACACTAGTGGAACGTCAAGCTGGGCCCTTAACCAAACAATAATGTATTCTCTAGATAGTGAAGGGCACTTTGCAGCAAATGCATACAGCAGATACAATTATAAAGATACAACCAGCTTTCTCAGTAAACAGTAACAGTAAATAAAACGTCACACGGCGGTGCAGAGTGCAACATGTATTATTA